AGGGACAGGGGCAGAGGGAGAGGGAGAAGCAGACGCCCCATCGAGCAGGGAGCCCGACTCAGGGTTCCATCTCAGGACGCCGGGATCATGACCTGAACCAAAGGCAGACGCTTAACTGACTGAGCCACCCAGGCGCCCCTGGACATTTCATATAAATGGAATCATACAATATGTGGTCTTTTGTGACTGCTCCATCCGTATAATCAATGGACTTTTATGGAATAACTACTGCTTGCCAAACACTGGTGCTGGGAATTTATATGGAATTTAATAGCAGGCATGGACAATTCAGAGTTTTCTTTCTACAACTTTTAGTCTATGGCTAGTTTTATAAAGCTGTCGTGAAAGAGTAACTGTCTATGAAATACACCTGTGTATCAGTGTGTGTGTGGCTGCTGTGCATCTGAGGCCGACCTGGAGGAGGAGAGGGGAGGAAGGAGCAATCTGAACCCAACTATAGTCTTGACATAGGGCTGCTCACCACCAGCACAACCTCTGGGCAGGGGACTCAGGGGAGGATTACTTTCTCTTTTGCTTCCAAGACAAGCGCTGATGGAAGAACAGGTGAATGAGCACCTGCAGGGGCACCTGGATGAGATTTACCACCTCAAACTGACTCTGGCATGCACGGAGGAGAAAATGGCCTATCTGTCCTATGAGAGAGCCAAGGAGATATGGGTGAGAACCTCATGGGGGGGGGGGCGGGCGGTAGCTTTTAAAGAAATGACCAGTGAGAAGGATATAGGGATGAGAGGAGCAAAGGATGAGCAGGTGCATTCTGATACCCCTGCAAACTAAGGAAAGAGGGTTCAGTCGCAACTCACACATTTGCTTTAGAGTGAGCGGCATCTATTTCTCTGTTCATGCTGCACTCCCGCCCCACCCCCTGCCCTGATCCAGCTGAGCTGACCTGGGAATTTGGGCTCTGCGATTCTCATACTTGGGGGTGCTTCAGAGCCACCTGAGGGGATGCTGATGAGTCACCAGCAGCTTCTGATGGTGCGGGGAGCTCCCTCTGCGAGGCCCTGCTTTTAACCCTCGGTTAGCAAGCACAGCTGAAGGGTTTCCCTCACCTGTAATGGTTAGCCTCACTCTCTTCCACACCCTTAGACCCTACTCCTGTCCTTGGTGAGCTCTCGCATAGCCAGGTTCTCAGTCTTAGGCCACACTGGATGTTACTGAGACAGGACAGGGCCCTTAGCATGTAAGTGCTCTAGTTTCTTGCCTTCCCTCCTAAATCTTCAGCTCACCAACATTTGCTGGGTACCTCATAGGAACTCAGGTAAGTGACTGCACTTCATGAGGGTGTGTGTTCTTGTCATGTGCAGGAGGTCATGGAGACTTTCAAGAACCGTATATCTAAGCTTGAAACTCTACAGCAAGTGACACAACTGGAGAGGATGGAGAACTTCAGGATCCGTCCACAGAAGTTTATGTTCCGATTCGTGAGCCTGCTCCTCACGCTGGCCACCATCTTCTTGGTCTTCATCTCCACCATGTGCGCCTGCCCCTTGCCACTGGTGAATTCCCGCCTGCGCGCATGCACCACACTCATGCTGATTGGCCTTGGGGCCCTGGCCTGGCAGAAGTGGCATGCCATCCCTGCCACAGACTGGCAGGCCTGGGTCCCGTCCAGATGGAGACTGTATTCCAAGGACTCCAAGCCTCTATCAGATGGGACTTAAAGGGCCTGGGTTTGCTAGCTCATGCTGCTTCCTGGGTGTCAAGGGCATCCAGCCAGCCCTACCTAGATAGTGACTTCTCAGCTCTCCCTTTCTGATTCCATCACCACCAGCCCGCCTTGCACTTCTCTTCCTCATGATCCTTCCATACCATCTGCAGACACAAAGCTTGGAAAATATTAAAGTGTCTGAAGCTGATCTGGGAACTTGGGCTCTGCAGTTCTGTCCCCCTCATGCCCTCTTGTGACCCAGTGACCAGACCCTCAGAGGCTCAGGGGTCCCCAGGCTGCAGTGGTAGCTTCTATGACTTTGTTGTTTTTGGCAAAGAGAAACTACATTTCTTTCACAGGGATGGAGAAGAAGAGGCAGTGGGGGGGGGGGTGGCCAAAGTGCTGGTGTGGGGACAGGGGTTATGTTTTCTGGTGGGAAGCAGACCTTTTTGTTGTCATGGCTGGGAGAGACTCATGCAGGTGACACTGAAGACACAGATGAGGCCTCTGTTTTGGAGGCGCTGGAGAGTTCAGAGCTATCGTCCACCTTCTTCCCAAAAAGCTGTAAGATGCAGTTTCGAAACTGGCAGGACAGAAAGTGTTACTCAACAGAGCAGAAAGGACGAATGTACTCTGCTAAAGGTCATTCTTGGGGAATTCTGAGGAAGGTATTCATTAATGACTTAATGAATGACTTAACCCCTTCTCTGCTACTATTCAGAATCCTATACGGAGAATAGAGGAAGCCTGAGGTTATTACTTGCACGTGGGGATAGTCTATTCCTGACTATTCATTCATCTAAGTAATCTAATTTAGAATCTGATGGTGACTATTGTGGGTCAAATTGTGACACTGCCCCTCCCAACCAAAGCTATGTTTGAGTCCTAACCCCTAGAGCCTGTGAATGTGATCTTATTTGGAAATAGAGTCTTTGTGGATGTGATTAAGATGTACATTACCATGAGGTCATGCTAGAATAGAGTGGGCCCCAATCCAGTGACTGGCATCATTATAAGAAGGGAATTTGGACACAGACTCAAAGAGAAGGTCACATGGAGGTGAAGGCAGATATCAGGGTGACTTGTCTACAAGGCAAAGAATACCAAGGATTACTGGCTACCACCAGAAACCAGGAGAGAGGCAGGGAACAGATTCACCCTCAGAACCCTCAGAAGAAACCAACATTGCCCACACCTTGATCTTGGACTTCTGGCCTCCAAAACTGGGTGAGAATAGATTTCTGTTGGTTTAAGCCCCCCAGTTTGTGGTACTTTGTTATGGTAGGCTCGGGAAACTTGTACAGTAACCAAAGATGATGCCAGCTAAGGGGCCCATGCATAGGGTGACCCATCCCCAGAATGTCTGGGAAGAGACTCAGAGGCATTTTAGTGAAAAAGAATGTGATCGTCATCTTGTTTCTATTCCACAAGGACTAGGTAGATAACAGTCTAGCCACTACCTCATGTCTTTAACCAAGAGAATCTTCCAGCACCAAGAGGGCTCCAGTCTTTGCTGCTTAGCCCTAAAGAGATCTAGAATGTATTCATTTCTCAAATTATGTCTCATATCATCACTGAGCTAACCACAATGTCTTAAGAATGCAGACCAGAGGCATCTCCTGTATATTCTTGACTACCTCCAGCTCCCTCCAACATCAAAACTGTCACAAATAAAACACATAATTATTGAAATCAATAACACAAGAAATGGGCCAAATAGCAGAATTGACTTAACTGAGGAATTCATTTGACATCTATCTACTGAGCACCCACTCTGCGCCAGACTGTGTCCCAGAGGGATCAGCAGTGGAGAAAAAGAGTAACATTCTCTGTCCTCATGGAGCTCCATTACAGAAAATTCTCTCAGAATGCAGCAGGAAGGGATGACAATGTGGAAAGGGTGAAAGCAAAGTTTGAAAGCCTGGAGGGGTCCAGAAGTACAGATGTCTTATCTGGGAGAAGGAGTTCTGGAAGGGGAGGATGGAAAGACTCAAGTAAACACAGTACAAGGCAAGATAGCTTAGGGTTCCATAAACAAGAGCCAGATCTAACAAGAGACCCACGTGAAAGCCAGGAAATAGGAGCCAGGGATAGAACTACGCTCAAGGTATTGAGGTGCCAACAATGGAGTCCTGGGGAATCACCTGCAGTACTGGTCCTACTAAATACCTGAACATTACCCAAAGAGTGTGTGCTTACTGAACTCTACAGAGAGTCAGGGCGAGGCGAGAGGGAGTGAGCCATGGGGCAACTGTTAAATGGAGGAGCAGAGAAGAGCTAGTTGGAAGGAATGGGGACTGGGTCTGGTGCAATGCAAGGCCAATGCAAGGCCCCTGCGAAGGTGGTATTTCTGGCCCATGGACCTTTCTGGTCACCATTAATTCACACATCCACAGCTGTGCCTTAATGAAGTAGATTTGATGGATTCAAGGAAGAATAAGGCAAATTATGCTTGGAAGATGATGAACCTCAGTGGTCGCCTGTAACCTTCCGAGAGGTCTAGGAGTCCTGGGCGATTTGCTGCTGAGGTTCGATATGCCAGCCCATGACGGCTACCATGTGGCAAGGCCTTGGGCAAGATCACAGCATGTTCCCCTGAACTAACCCATAAAGTCACAAAAGCCACATATCAGTGTAGCCAAGAAGGGCCTCTTAAAGGGTTTCAAGATGGATAGATGAAAATTAAGAGGAGAGTTGTGCCTATAAAAGCAAAATGGGCACAGGTAGGGTAAATGTAGACATGTTCAGGCATCCACTGGGTGTTCGAGCTCCAGGGTAGCCCTGAGGCCAACAGAACGGAAGGAGGTCATTAACAGGTTCCCCCGGACATGATTTCAGGTGGGAGCCATCGCTGGGCTCTTCTGCAGTCTTTTTCTAGTTTGTTCTGCCAACGATGTGACTTACCTGCCGGTTCATAAAGACATAGATAATCGGGTTGTAGATAGTGGCACTTTTGGCAAAGTAGGCTGGCAGAGCGGCCACCAGAGGGTGGAAGGCGTAGCCAGGGTGGGCAGCAGCGAAGCATGCAAAGAAGGTGTAGGGGCCCCAGCAGACGCAGAACGCGAAGACCATGACTACCACCATGCGCGTCACCTCCTTCTCTGCCTTCTGGGTGGACTCAGATTCTTTCTGCTGCTTTGCCACCTGGGGGAGACAGAGATTCATGCCCGGGGACAGTGAGTGGGCGGGTCCCTCTGGGCTCTTTATCCCAGGGGACTCTGTTGCTATCGCTTGGGCAGTGAGTCAGGGAGAAGGCAAGAGACAGGTGGCCCGGGGATGGGGAGTCATGGCGAGAAGGAGATGGGCCCACCCGGGCCAGTCAGCAGCCAGCTCCCACCCGCGCGAGTTGGCAGCCTGGCTTAGGCTGCGCTGGGCTGGCCCTGAGGGAGCTTGTGTAGGTTTTGAGGTGGCCCTAGGGAAGACGGCCTTGAGCCAGGGCCTTCCAAGCTCTTGGCTTAGCTCGGCTAAGCCACGCATAAGGAGTTTGGGAAGGAGCTAAGGAGGCCATCCTTAGCACCACCTGGTCCCTTATCAGTGTGTCCCCTCCAGTGCTCAGGTCTGAGGGGCTGAGCAGGAGGAGGCCCAGAGGCTGGACACTGCTTGCTGTTAGCCCAGAGCTGACAGGGCTCAAGCAATGGCTGGATACCTGCGGGAGCCAGCTAGGTTGCTTCCGATCCTTGACCGCCAACGGGGTTGGGGGAGGAAGCGGGGCAGGGGGCACATCACAGGCTGCAGGCAGGGAGTTTGTGGCCTTCACTCTAGAAAGAGCTTATGAGCACTTGTTGATCTGATTGTGGGCACAAGCAGCTTCATATCAGAAAGGCACCACCCCAAAGGGCCTTCTACCAACTGTGCCAAGCAGGATCTCAACAGGAACAGATGGCGCATCCCGATCAAACTAATGGTAGGTGAGTTGGCTGACAAGGGGACAACTTATGTACGGTGTTCTTCCTCTTCTGCCTCACTCTGATTGCCTACGTAGGGGGTAGGGGGTGGCTGCAGACAGGATCAACTTCCCAGTGAGGAGAGTGGAGAGCGGGTCTTGGGGACAGATGGCACACGCAAATCCACTCCTTGGCCTGCCCCAACAGCCCCGTGAAGGGGACAAAGTCACTCTGGTGGCAGTCTCTCAAAACCACCTTTTGATGCGCAGCTTTCACTTGCGGGTCTGGCTGTCTTTCCACCCAGGGGAGAACTGTCCTGGGTCAGGGAAGAAATGCAGCTCTGCTCCCTTATTGGGCCCCACATGAAGGGCGGGGGACAGTCCCTTCCCATCTTGTAGGGGCAAGGACAAGGGAGCCAGGGCTGTAGTGGCAGTTCCAAAGGAATTGCAGGACTCGTGTGTGGTTTGAGGGCAGGAGAGAGGACTGGGTGATCCTTTGTGCCAGCCTCGACGTCCCTGGCCCTCATGATCCTGCCAGGCAAGGGTGAAGCCAGGAGGGTTTGGGGGCTTACTGCTCGGATGGCCAGCCACACTTGGAGGTAGCAGAGTATGATGACACCAAGTGGGATGATGCAGCACGTGGTCATGAGGACGATCATGTAAGACTGCACCCCAGGGTACGAGCTGCCACTGAACACGTCCGGGCCACACGATGTCTTCAGGCCATGGGGCCAGTACCTGCAGAGAAGGGCTGGCAGCCTGTCCTGATGTAGGCATGGCAACACAGGACCCCTCAGGCCAGGCACACCACTGACCTGGGCTGGAGGATTGTTGGTTTTGTTTTTTTTTTTTTAAAGCTCTATCCATTTATTTTAGAGAAGGGGGAGGGGCAGAGGGAAAGGGAGAGAGAGAATGCTCAAGCAGACTCCCCGCTGAGCACGAAGCTCAACATGGGGCTCCATCCCAGGACCCCGAGACCACGACCTGACCTGAAATCAAGAGTCGGCCACTCAATGGACTGAGCCACCCAGGCACCCCAGGATTGCTTGGTTTTTAAAATCACAATGAAATTCACATTACATGAATTAACCATTTTTGAAGTGAACAATTCAGTGGCACTTAGTACGTTCACAATGTTGTGCAACCACCTCTATCTACTTCCCCAATACCTTCATCGCCCCCAAAGGAAACCCTTGGGTAGAATTTTGGTAAACCTTTGTCCATTTTTAGGTCTCATAGCCCCTTCTTTTTTTTTATTGTGGTAAAATACACATAACACCTGAGCCCCCAAAGAAGCGGCCTGGCCAAGACACAAATGACCTATTATAGGCCCTGCTGTACATACAACCCAAGCAGCCTCTGAAAGGGAGGCCCCTCAGAATGTGCTAGAAAGAGGCCTGGGGCAGAGTGGCTTAGAGGGCCCTGCTTTCGCTTACAGCTATTCCCAAGGCTTGAGCTTGTCACCTTTCTCTGTGGGCTCCCATGAGCAGCTCACGCTTAGGGGAAACAGACCGTTCCAGAGGCTCAGAGACGACAGGGGCCCATTTCCATGTTGCAGCCAGGCAGATTTATACATTCGTAGACACTGCACCCTCAAAGGGGTCACAGGGAGAGTTGGGTCCATATTCACTTTACTCATGGGGTCACAGAGGCCCAGAAACAGGAAGCAATTTGCCCCAAGGTCACAAATGGAATCGGGAGTCTGACCCTCCCCACCAGCCTTCACCCTCTGCCCTAAATGACCTGCCTTCCTGCATGCTGGCATCCTTACCTGCTCCAGCCAAAGATGGGGGGGGCTGTCCACAGAGCAGACCAGACCCAGGAAAAGGCAATGCCCACGATGGCTAGTTTTGCATCAAATCTCACGTTGCCAAAAGGCTTGCAGACTACCATCCACCTCTCCCAGGAAATGATGGCCAGGGACCAGAGACCCGTGATCCCTGCAGGGGAGAGCAGGCAGATGAGGGCTTTGAGCCTCCAATGTCACTCCTTCCATCCAGACCAGCCGACAGTTTTCAAGATCAAGAGGTTCCTCCCCACCTACCTGAAACACCTAATTCTCCCCAAAAGTGTATTCAGGTCCAGGGGGCAGTGGGTCTCTTGGTCAATTCCTCGAACACCCTCTTTTCCCCATTCTTTCCTCTTGGGCCTGATTCCTAGCTCTCTTTCAGTTGGCCACCAGCCTTTCTTCGAATGCCGACACGCCTCCCAATGGCCATGCCCACACCCACATGACCACACTGAGGTGCTGTGGTCCCAGCCAAGGGCAAGGAAACAGGACCTGCGTCTTGTGACCTGTGCCCCCTTCTGCCAGTATGCACACTTGTTTAAGTTTCCAGATTTCCCACCACCGCCCACCATCTGGCAGGTGGAGACGGTGTCTTCCTGTCCTGCTTACACACTGGAGGTCTGTGGGCAGAATTCAGGGCTCCATGAACTGGGGCAGGAAAAAGACAGCTTTGTTTCCAGTAACCTCTAATGGACACTGGGCATTTCCTTCCGTTATTAGCACGGTGGCATTAGCAGTGCCTGGGACTTGGTCACTTTCCAGAGGTGGCAGACATTTCCCAATATCACTGTATTCCTTACCATTTTGAAATTTCAGTGGCTGTCGGCCAGATCCAGTTATCTGATACTTTAATAAAGAACGGTATCATTAATACTTCCAAACAATACATTTACTAATAATTTTAACGAAGGACTATGCCACTAATTAATATTTAATACTTTGATTACTATATTTCAGTATCATCTCTGTTGACTTGAAAACAGACCTCAAGCAGATGCAGAGGCGAGTGGGGAATCCTGACAGAACCAGAGACAGATTTGAGTGGACATGAAGGTACACAGAGCACTTGGACTTGGGGGATAGATTTTCTCTGCCCAACCTTCCCTGGTCACTCCTACTCTGTACCTTTGGGAGAGTGCTGGACCATCATCTGTAAAATGAGAGGCAGTTAGATACGGGGGGACAGTGTCCGCTCCTGTCCCGTGGGCTTCATGTTGGCACCTACCTCATAGGGTTATGAGAGAGGCCAATACGTTCATTTAAATCTTGCCCCCAAGTCCTGCCCCCATTTTACAGATGAGAAAATGGAGGAGCGGTGTGGTAAAGAAATTCAGTGTTATTCACAGCACTAGTAATTCAAATCTGGGGCCAGGGTCCCCCTTCCTTCACCAGGCCCTCACAGCACTAGTAATTCAAATCTGGGGCCAGGGTCCCC